AATATAAATATGTAAAACGTGGGAACTGTTACACTACAGATCATTGTGATGATGGAAGATGAGGAAGGAAAAAATCCTCAAATCCATTATCTCTCCCTTCAGGTACCAGAACTCTGCATTAAATAAGTGAGCTAAAAGCATCCAAGTGCCTTTTCCAAAGGTGCAGAAAAGTTATGCTCCATTAATTTATGCTAAAATCTAATTTTATTTCCTTCACAACTAAAATGAGTAAAAAAAGGAATAAAATGTTTCATTTTTCCTTTCACTGTATATAAGCATGTTCTTAAAATACCATCTTACTGCCTCAGGAAAAGAAATGTTAGCATAAGAATTTCACCTTTTCTCATTGTATAAACTCAACCCCCCCCCAAATATTTCTAAAATATAATTACTGGTTTTGATTTTACAGCATCTGATCCATGAGTACTTATTCCAGCTAATATTTTCAAGAAACATACTATGGCTATTTGTGATCTTCCATACATTTCAACATAATTGACTGGTTAAATTTTCCTGTGTATTAAACAAAGTCATTGAAATTTTTAATTTGCAGTAGAACAAATCAGACTGATAAATTTTCTTGAAGTATTGGGCCTAGCACGTTCTTTCTGTTTAATCCAAGAGAAGGAGCAGTTAATTTTTATCTTTTTTTTAACAAGAGCTCAAGAGTGAAAACCATCAACAGAACTTCTGAAAATAACTTTCCTAGGAACTCTGCTTCACAGAGCTACCTATATTTTGGGCAACACTTGATCTGCGTGCAGAGAACATGAAGCTCTTGTAAGAGTTTGGGATCTTCTGCACATCTCTATGCTGCATGTTTTATGTGTGTCTCTCAGCAGGTCACAGCACTTGTCACTGCTTCAGTTTTTTCTCTGACAAATCCCCCTCTAAGAACAGATGGAGGCTCGTGGCCTCAGATCTGCACCCTTGGTTCTCTGATTTCACCCAATGCATCAGCTCCAGGTCCATCTTTCTTAGGAGAACCTCCAACACAGAATACCACAGATTTTGTCTAGCCCAGGGGAGGTGGCTCACCTTTCACTTAGCAAAGTGTGATGGACTATGCTTTCCTTACAGCCCCCAACACTGGGAGCTCACACAGCCCTAACTGCATGCAGGTTAGAAGTGAGGAAGCAGTCTTGGTATTTTGCTGGTTGCTCAGGCAACCAGCTCCACTGCAAGGAAACAAAACATGGAAAAAGTAATCTCACTGAATGGAAATCTACTTAATTCAGAATAGGTATCCAGTTTATAAAATAGTGTGATATTATGTAAAAACAGCCCAGATTTGATGTGTATTTTGCATCAACAAAATTGTAAAAGAACTGGTACTAACAACTTGTATTTTTTCCAAACTGCATTGAATCATCAAATGCATAGAATCACTAAGAAAGCTGAATCTTAAACCTGAATTTTAAACTTGCTTTTCAGAAAAAAATATTCACTGATATTCAGCAACATTTTCATATCAAATAAAGCATTAAAACATTTGTGACTAATTTTGTGACTAATTTCTGTGATATCTATGCAAGGTTTATGGAAGCCATTCCCTTATTAATGTCACAGGAAGTTTTATGCCAGCAAGAAATAATGGATAAGCTCCTCTGAGTTGAATTACCAATCTGATATACTGAACAAAAGCATGGGCTTTATAAAATCACTGCAATCTAAACACTAGTCCTACTGCAATAAATTAAGGTTGTCACAGCACAGTCCTGGTACCAGCTTTCATTTTGCTGACATGGTTCAGGTGATCTCTCACCAAAAAAAAAAAAAATATCCAGTAATCTAAGCTTGCACTTTTGAAATAATAATTAGTAATGGAATAAAGAATATTACCTACACCATTAATATTACTTCCCCTCCCAATATTTTAGAAGAAATTTTTGCCATAAGCCAGCTGTAATCTTAGCAGTCATTCTATAGCTGTATTTTACAGAGCTTAGTCTTCAAAGATATTCTGAATTTCATTTGAGAAAAAGGCAAATGAATATCATTTGACACAAACAGAAATATAGTCAGGGTATGTTAAGCCAGAAGGACAGTACAAGCAACCAAAGAGCTGACATAGTTACATAGCCAAGAACTCAGCATTTAGCATACTGAATTACATTAGAAAAATAGAAGATGCATGGTCATTCCTTGTATTTTAGAAAGGAGAAAGGGATCCCTCTAAAGACAGAGGATCAGTGATAAAGATGTTAGGGCAAGAGTGATTAATTCCAGGCAATTATGTCTTAGAATAAGTAATTTTCAAAGCATCAAACACAGAAGAAAAAGCAAAACCAAAGCAATGAAGAAAATATTGAAGTAGATGCTACAGCTGCTCACAGTTCATCTTTGCATATCTCAGTTTAAACGTAAAATGCTAATAGATGGCACTTAACCCAGTTTCTCACTTACAGGCTAAACATACATCCTCAATTTTTATGTATGATTTCCACTAATAAGAAATCCAACAAAAATATGACTCTTACAATAGTGGCTGCATTTCATATTTTAGTGTAGACATGAGCTTATGTCTCTTTTAAGAGAAAACAAGCATTGGTCTACTGCTGTGTCACAGATTAGCTTACAGTCAAGGCATATTCCTCTACTGTTGAATATAAGCCTTGCATGTTCTCTTTATTTGATATAAATATTCAAGAACTCAGAATCCATACTTTAGGTTTTAAGAGAAATTTAAATTAATACTTGTGTATTACGTTTAATTTTAAAATAAAATTGTTCTATGAATTAAATCTTTGGCTGCTTTATAAACTGAACTGGATCAATCTCTCAGTTTTTCAGGTTTTCCTCTAGTGTTTTACTGCCAGGCTCCAAAGAAAACAAACCCAGAACAATAGTCATTAAACAGCACCTTCATTTCTCAATATCACAAACTGAAAGGCTTATATTGTTTGCCTACACAATGCTATACTATGCATACACAGAAACGCATGCAATAATTCTCTTCGCAAAATAATAACAATTCTCCTTGTATAGAAATAAATTAATATCTAGAAGCACAATCAGTCCCACAACTGCTCTGATCCAAAGATCATGAAACACGTTGTAGCTACCCCTAACAGAGGCAGCTGCCTCTGAAGAACACAATGGCAACCATTCAGCAGACTTATGAGCAGCATCACATCTTTTCTTGTCACAGAAACTAAACAATCCACTTTCTTACCTCATATTTTAGATAGACAAGGATGTGGCCTATTTCAGATAAACCTTGATCAGCTTCCAAATGATGCAGGAGCAAGGAGAGAATTAATATCAGCCATAACTGAAGACCTTTTGTTCTTGGTTGGTTTCATAGAAGGTTGAATTTGTGTGCTGGAAACTCCAGGAAAACATGACCATGCAGAAGCATACATGACCATGCAGAAGCTTAACTTAGAAGATTCATTCTCTGCATTAAGGTTACAGATATTCTAATTAAGGAAGTACTTAAGTTTTTTTTCAATAGAAGTGAGATTTGGCAAAGAATGTGCCATTTATTGTGTGAATTAATCCTGATTATGATGCCAATAATACCAAATTAAATCAGTATGTTTCTATTCTTTAATCAAATCAGCATCACTTGCTTGCTTGACTCAGTTTGCATTAAGCACATACCAAACACTGCATAACAAAATTATATGCAAAATTTGGGACAAATAAGTCAAGTAGACAGCAAACAGTTTAAAATGGTACATTTCAATGTTACAGAATTTGAAGAAAGATTTATAATAGACTGATCAATTATGAAGTGACTCAAATATTTCAAAAAACAATGATGAATCCTTTGATTAAAAATATTTTTTAGAAACCAGCACTGCATCCAAAGATCATAAGAAATCTTGCTTAAACTGAAAGAAACGTCTCTATAACTAAATTAACACTGACAGCTGCTTCACAAGGGCATGTTTTTTTACTGATATTTCCCTGAAGAAAGCTCAGTTTCATGATAATACAGCAAAAACAGGTCAAAACTTGAAAGATGAGAATATTATACTGCAAGTTTTTAATGCAGGGCGAGATTAAATTTCCACCTGCAATTTTCATGTTCATTTAATCTTCCCTATAATAAATTACAGTACAAATGTCAGTGATTAGAGTACATTGCAATTTTCTTTTTAAAGATGCAAAAGGACCTTCATGAACACAGCAACATTTTGAGTATCAATTTAAATTCCTTGGAGTGAATTTTTACCATCTGGGAAATGCTTCACACTTAACTTATTTTCAGTAACTCTTTGCAAAATACCAGGGCAGCACAGTTTTCACCAAATCTTTCTTTATCACAATTCTATAACTCCAATATGCTATCTAATTATATAAAAATATGCAGAATCACACTTGAACTGTAATTGGAAAAAAAATTGCATTGGTTTTGCTTATTCAGGCTTTGAGCTTCAAAAAGCTTTGGTAAATATTTCACTGGAAAGGTACATTTCTATTGATAACCACACTTTTCAAAAGAGTTTTCATGTTTACTGTGCATCTCCTGGTCCAGAAAGAGGATCAAAGTGACCAATACATGGGATCAAAAGAGAATGCCCTTTAATTTCTATTTCTTTAACACTCCACCCAACACCATTAAACAATGCAAACCTTTCAGATTTTCTATAAGCATCTTCCAGCCTATTATGTGTCCCCATAGAGGGTATTCCAAAGTTGTATACTATTTACTATTCTATTTACTGTTCACAGAAATTTGTGCACACAGAAGAGAATGTCACATTAATTTCTACATGTTTAACATGCTTATTCTCAATTTTAAGTTTTACATCATCAACCAAATTCGCCAATGTTTTATGTCAGCAGAAGCCCCCATGACGGATCATTTGAAGGAAATGTGTTCTCTCCATTCCAACGCAGGAAGGAATTGTGGGATTTGCACTAGATCTGGGAAGGTTATGAACAGAATGGTGGCAAAATTAATAGCTTCAGAGATCCAATTTAGTCACTGAAAGTTCTAGAACTATTTCTAGCATGATTCACAGATTCTAGTGACAATGTGTCCTGCATTCACTTTATGTGAAATCTCCTTATAAACCATTCTAACACAAGCAGATGCAATCGACTGAATGCAACAGCAGCAGAAATGGTGACACTAGAGCTTCAGTGAGATGATCTTAAAATATTCAAAGGTTCAGAGTTATGCGGAAAATTGGTAAGAAAATGTTGTGAAAACCAGATAGTAATGGGACTATAGCTGTGATGGTCTGAGCTAGGTATCTCTTTCTATGACTTTCTATTTATATAGTGCTCTGAATCTACACAGGGCCAGACTGTACTGCTCCTGATCTACTGTGGATGTGTGAAAGCCTGCCACAAGACCTTACACCAGCTAGCAAGACAGCTGTCCAAAAACCAGACAGAAACTCTTCCTGAACTGCATGGTAAGGAATGAAGAGATAAACCAATCTTTTTTTTTCCTGGCATGTTACATCTTACACATCTGAAGAAAAGAGGCAAAGAGGTAACAGTCCAAATTATTTTGCATGAATTTGTACTGCTAAGTAAAAGTAAAAAATAATAAAAACAATTTTTTCTAACACCTCCAGGCTTTTCTAATAAGAACTTATCCAAGGTGATTCAAGTTAAATTTATCACTGGCATAACAAACAGTGGACAACAGTCCCACCTCTTTATTTCCCAGAGCAGGTTGTGCCCAGCTGAGACAGACTTCTTTGATGCACCTCCATCAGAAAAACTTTTGGCTCTGTGCCACTATTTAGCCCACAAAGTGGTCTGGATGTTAAATGTTCAACTTAAAGTTAGGAGTTACATATTATTCTATTACTAAAAAAGATATTTTACTTGAGCAGAGATTGACTTCACAACTGAGGAAGCCACAGAGAACGAGTTATTTCATCTACAGGCAGAAATAATTTTGCTTCTGGCATCTACTTCAAAGCAATTTTTAGAATCTGAAACAGAAATAAGTGATGTACTGTGCTAAAATGTCCCAAATTGATTGCTAGCCTTAGAAAAACAGGAAGCATGCAGATTTAAATGCCTTTTTAGAGCACAGAATAATCCCAAGTTTTGTCAGTTAAGTGCACCAGTCCAATTCAGATCTGTTTTAAATCACTGTTCAGTTCTATCCTGTACATGTTCTACTTCAGAATTATAGACTTAGTCCAGAATGTTATCCCACTGGTTTTGAACTAATGTATAAGCCTCCAGTGTTTTTAGATAGAAAATGCTCTTCAACACCAGTAATTTTTAATGTGTTGGAGTCTGATTCCAATTGAAATCTGCTATACTGAGTAAGAAAATTTCCACTATTACCAATAAGCTTTGGATCAGGCCCATAGAGAATTTTAACTGATAATCAGCATTTTAAACACATTTTTGTACCAAATTCCATATATTGTCGGTATCAAATATTCTATGACATTTTCTATAGATAACTATATAGGTATAGTTATGTATACCTATTAGTGTAGGTACCTTGCAGAACATTGTATTTTGCCAAATACATTTGCACATTTTGGTCTAAACAGTGACTTCAAAGAATTATACAGCATATGTAACTACCGCATGCAATTAAAACTCCTTTATAAACAGTCTAATTTATTTTTGAGGTTATGAATGAATGAGTGATAACATGCAGAACAGTTTGCTACATCCATTAAAAAACAGGTACTTGAAAGCAGGATTTTATAGTATAGATGAGAATTAGCAATCAAACTGCTGACTATTATTTTCTCTTTCTTTTCTCTCTCCCAATTTTGACTTATCTATTAATTTCTTCTTGTTCTCTTTCTCATGGTTCTGACATTTCTAAGTCAGAATACAAAATTTCTCACCAGATTTAGCATAATCATATGATGCTAAATTTCTCATCAAATTTAGCCTAATCATATTATAGACTTTTACCTAAGAGAAAAACTGGACCTACTGCCATATCTTCAGTTTATTTTTAGTTCTCAGGATTCCAGGGGATGAGGGATATAAGAACTGCTAAGAATTGCATTTCTTTTACAAGACAAATTATTTGCTTAGAAACCTTTTCCCTTTATTTTGTATCATCAGTGCCATTATCCTTGGATTATCAGATTGAGGACTAAGAAAACTGAAAGCAGTGAAATGCAGTTAACATATTTTTTCTATTTTGTGTATTTTTTCCTAATACTACTTTAATGACAGTATTTAGTAAACAATTCTTTAATCTTAATTTGCTTATAGATATGATGCTAATTGTACAAGATCTGCTGTCTATGGTGCTGAGGCAGAATTTAATTATGCAGAGTAATGGGTGGGTTTTTTATTTGTTCAACACCATTTTAACTCAGTATCAATATCTGAACATGAGGTTTGGAAGTGCGAATGCCCTTACTGGTTGAGGCACCGAAGAATGAAACAGGAGGAGAGTGCATATCCAGTAACCAAGCTTGGTTTCCAAGTGCTGAGAAGAGTGCAGAGCTCCCATAAAAAGAAATAAAGCTTTCATAAGGAAAACACAATATGATATCTAATTACAATGACAAGTTTAGAACTTATTCAAGGCATAATAATCTATGACCATTTAAATCCCAGAAGGTGAAGAAAGGCAACAATTATATGACACTTTCTAAAGTAATTGTACTGATTATTTATGCAGCTGATGTAAGTGTTTAAGGCAATTCAATATTATCCCTGGAGTAATAGGAGGCAGAGTAGTTTAGACCAAAATATATGACATTATTAATCTCAAACAGTGCAATTTAAAAATCTAAAATATTGAAGTATGCATTAAGAGTGTTTACTTCATCAGGATTCCAGGTAAATACCATCATGAGATATTCTTGCTTCGATGTTGTGTGTACCTCATTTTGTGATAGTGGTTTGCTTTTACTGACTGAGAAAAAATGCTTCCCCATGGCTACTGTTGCTATAGGTGATGTTTCAATTGCTGCTTTACTGTGGAAGAATGTTCTTGAGAGAAGTAATATATCAGTTCAGAATTTTCTGAAATCCTAAAATTATCATGTGTGATTATTTCCTGAAATAATCATTAAGACACATTATAACACTTGACTGGAATTTGAAATAGGTCTGTTCCAAAATTTTTCTACAAAATTAAATGAGGCACTTAGTACCTCGGTACTGCTTGCCTTATCTTTAATTGAGATTAGAGTTGTTTCCATTTTCCCCATCATTTTCAACATGTAGCTATATGATAAAAGACAACACATCACTCAGGCATCTTGCAGCACCTTATCAGGAGTTTAAGAGTTCAATGCCAAGAGTTTACTCTTAGCATTCCCACATGGATGATAACCAACAGTGTTCCATCTCTACTGCACTGAAGACAAATTCAGCATTTGCCATAGAGTAAAAGCATGAAGATACAGCAGATGGGGGCTGGCTGCTTGTTAAACCACCAAAGCACAGCTGCCAGAATTCTCTCAGAAACTCTTAAGTGATACATAGCCCAAGGAGAACTTCTCCTGACAACAGCAGACACCTCACATAGACAGATATGGGCTGTCAGTTCCACTGGTGTTACACCATTGAGGGGTTTTCTGCCTATACTAGAGTATGGAATTTTAATATTTTCAATATGAAAAAGAAAACAGTGATGAACATTTATTATTTTGTGGTCATGATATAACGCCATCTCCTAAGTCACAAAAAATTTGGGGGAGAATAGCTCATGCAGTACATGCTGCTCTGAGAAATGTCTGGTTTTAGCTTTGAGAAAAATGCCTGGTAATACAGGGAAAAAGTGTCTTCCCTGTTCCCTGAACCTGTACTTTCAGCACTGTTTTTCTTCTTTTATGTTGTTACTCTATTTTTTTTTTTCTTTTTCAGTGTCTCATTTGTCTTGCCTATGAAGATGACACAGAATACCTTTCCAGAGGAGGAGGGAGGGGAAGGCAATTTTGAGTATCATCTCACTTTATCTGAGGGATATGAACTAGCTAGCAAGTAGGTAGGGGTTATTCTAATTGCTTGGATAGACAGCAAGCGATTCAAATAATTGAATATTTATGGTTTTAACATCTAAATCCTGGAATTGTTCCCAGAAAAGAACAGCAAAACAATAAGCTTGGTTATACAAAACCTGTATCTCATAGTCAGACTTTTTGATGGTAAAAGGGACAATTACAGCTTTTTTGCACAGTTGAAACATTCAGAATCTCTCATTTCTCATTGTTTTCATTCATCTTAATTTTTTTCATGGTTAATAGGAGCTCATTTGTGCTGAAGGCTTACAGGTGCATCTTCATTAGTGTTTTACTTTGGCTGGGAAATCTCTCCACAGTTCCTATTTATGGTGGTTTTGTTCACATCCTGGAGCAATCTTGAAGCCCCTTCCTTTTGGGTAAAATTAAGTGGGAATGTGAGCTCAAATGTGACTGCTATACCTTTGTTTACTTTTACTTGATTTACATGGTCTGTTTTTCCATCATTTTTAAGGTGCCACTAGACTTTCAAAGCCAATATTTTAAGATCCAACAAGGATCTATAAGATTCACAGGGTTCATTTGAAGGATATTTGGTTTTTACTTTTGTCTTTGTAATAGCAACATTAAACTGCCTCTTAGAAGACTGCTGTGTAGACAAAAGTTGGTTTTTTTCTAAATTCAACCCATTTATCAGAAACAAAAGTCCCCAGTGACAATCTTATAGTCCTGCTCTGGGAAATACCAAATTAGAAATAAAAAAGTAAATTAACTTTTAATAATTTGTTACTGAATTCTTTCTATTAAACATTTAATTCAACTATAGTATTTGCTTATAGTATTCTATGGAATCCAGTGAAAACTAAAACTGAAAAAACCTACACCTACCTTTCTCCTAATTAAAATTCATGTAAGCTGAGAATAGCAGCATCACAGTCACAGAAAACGCTGGGTTGGAAGGGAACCACAAGGGTCATCGAGTGTAACTCGTGGCCCAGCACAGCACGATGGCCAGGAGTCACTCCCTGTGCCTGAGGGCACTGTTCAGACACTCCCTGAGCTCTGCCAGGCTGGTGCTGTGACCACTGCCCTGGGGAGCTGTTCCAGTGCCCAAACACCCTCTGGGTGAAGAATCTGTTTCTGATACCCAACCTAAACCTCCCTGGACACAACTTCAGGTCATTCCCTTGTGTCCTGTCACTGTTCACCACAGAGAAGTAACATTACAGCTCTCACGCATGCCTACATATATGTGCGTGTGTGTGTGTATGTCTGATATCTTGATACTTTGATAAATTAAAACTGGCTTGGGGAGCATTATATTTGAAGAAAAACTTGAATTTAGATTTAAAAAAGCAAGCATGCTGGTCCCCAGAGACATATTTAAACTAAACTAGATTTTTAATTAAAGTTGTACTAAAATGGTATGGTGAAATTATTTTTTGCATGTCTTTGTGTTTTCACATATGGATTGAGGTTTTGCATGGAGATTTTTATTTCTTGACAAGTAAACATCTTGCAAACAATTGCACAAGGACATACTTCTCTCTACAGCCACTTAGAGCCTGACTTGTGCCAGAAACATGGATCTCATTATCAAAGCTACAATCTACATGATATTTTAAAGAGAGACTGCAGAGATATTACATTGATCATCAGAAGTGTGACCCAAAGTCCTTGGTGTGTGGCGCCTCTACTGTTGAGAGAATGGATTCTGGGAGGAAAAATTATGGAGAATCTTGCCATTCTATGAGATATGTCTGGAGGCACCAATTCTTAAATATTTTCTTTAAAAATAAAAATCCATAGGAGACAATTAATATTATTCCTTGTGAGCTATACAAGTTTGATCCAGAGTCCTTTTTTAAGACTCTGGATTATTTATATTATTTATATTATTATATTATTTAAGCATGACTTAAATATTAAGAAAGCATATATAATACTACTACAGAGAAAGTCTTCAACACTTTCATCCTTGTAAATACATAAACAATAAATAGCTGCTAATGAGATCTACAAAACACTAACAAAAGTGAAAATAAGACTTTCCTTCTAAATGATTTAGCAAAACTCTTCCTTTGATATAAGAAAAATATGCATAACTAGGGAAAAAAAAGTCAAAAGATCAGTTTAGTTGGTCAGAGAGTGCTGCTAATAACACCAAGGTCATGGCTTCAATCCCTGTATGGGCCATGCATTTAGGAGTTGGACTTCATGATTTTTGAGAGTCCCTTCCAGCTCAGAATATTCTGTGATTAGAAAATTATTCTATGTCTCAGGAATGGAGAATCTTAGTTTTATGAACAGTGCTGTTGAAATGCAGAAAATTGGCATCAGACGGTGTCACAATTTGCTGGGTACAAGTGACACAGATGAAAGCTCTAGAACATGAACAGTGGACCCACTTTTTAGCCTTCTCAGTTTTGAAAGTATTATTGAAACAAAAGATGGAACTCCCTCATGGTGATTAGACAGTTAGTTAAGTGTGTAACTCCTTGCAAAATTCCTTGTGGGAACAAAATCTGCATTTGGGTTGCATGGAGAATGGATCCATCCATAGACATACATCTAGTAAGGTTACATAACACACAGGAAACACCCAGGAGGTGCCTGGGCTTAGGAGGACCTTGGGCAGCAAACACTCACAGGCTGTAACACTCTGAAGAGGTGTCACTGTGCCACTGTACTGCAATTACACATTTCCCAAAGGCATTCATAATCAGTCAAATAGGGCACAGGGTAGATAAAACTACTCTTACTGAGACCCACCACATTATTGTCTGTCCTTCTGTTTTTAGTAAACTTATGAGAACTCATTTATTTGGGTATCTGACAGTTCTGACATATTTTCAGAGTACAGCTGTGTATCTTCCCCAGACATGGCCATGTGAATTTTTTTTCTTCAAATGAACAAGTCCAAGCTCCCAGTGAACCCTCTGCATAGCTCTAAGAAGATAATTAATCTCTCACTATGTAAAAATTAGAAATGTAAAAAAATTCTTTCTATTTATTCAACTTTAGCACTAGAGCTACATTACTATTATAAATATGAACTGAAAAGTCATATACACACCTTGTATGATCAAGTGCTAAATTAGGTGTAATATATAGTGTTTCTGTAGATTTTCAAAGAAATGTTGAGAGTTTCAATTTTATTATATACTGAATTTCTACAATCAATCATTTCTACCAAAAGGTAGAAATGCTCCTGAAAGCAAGGAGTATTTTAAATTTTTTAAACCTGCCATTATTTTTTAAATTTCTAATTACAAATCAAACTAGCCACCGTATAAAAGTTACTCAATATAGCAAGAATCAGATACAAATTATTTAATCTTGTTTTACAGTAAGATCTACTCAGTCATGCTGAAACCATTTATGCAATTGTCTCAGATTTGTTGACCAAATCCTGCTGAAAAAAAGGTTTTTCAAGGCTGGAATCAAAATTCTGGAACTCTTGGCATCATATCCATTTTAGGAAAAATGACAGTGGCTATTCCAGAATGAGGGAGACTGGTGTTCAGGTTTCATCCTTCACTAAACAGCATCAAAGTTTAACTTTCCACAAGAACACCATCATCAGCAATGTACTCTGATATTTGTCATGTTTACATTGTTCAGCTAAAGCTGTTTATAAAATGCATAATAAATTAACTAATGAGGAAGAGTGACTCTACTCTTGTTTTTGGATATCCACCAAGGGTAAAGAAGGTTTGTTTTCCCACCCCCATTTTTTCATACAGCTTGGAATGACATAAAGAGAGAAGATTGTTACATCAAATGATACTAGCATTACAACGGGAGAGCAAGGATCAGAAACAAAGAAAGAAATCTAGTGAGTTGTGGGCAAGGAAGAGAAACAAGAATTGTCTTTAATTCCAGAATGGCCTTAGGAGAAAACATGGGTTTTTTTGTTACTGACTAGTGTGTTATACAGAGAGCTTTTTGTTTTTCTTAAAACTGGACATCACTAATTATACCCAGAAGACTGAAATTTCTTAAAAAATCAAGCAGATTTTGCTATTTCCTTCAGTTCTAATCATCTCACATATGGCTTGGAAATACAGCTGGTGAGTAGAAAGCTTTCTAAAAGATGCAAAGGAGAAGCAGAAAAGCAATTAAATATGAATAAAAGGACATGACACAGGAAAAGAAAAACAGATTGAAATGTAAGGTAGAATATCCTAAATAATGTTACAATCAGTTTAACTGCATTTATGGGGTAAAAGAAAACTGTACCACAAACAATACTGTGAGGAATTGAAGACTGAGATATCCTAGGGCTCTTTGTTCATTGCCTTCACCTCACAATGGCAATTGTTCTGACTGATGAAGTGAAGAAGTTTTCAAGAGCATCCCTCCACAGCTTGGCCAATCTTATTTACAAAACATCCAATGAAAAGATAAGGGAACAATACATGGCATGGTGACAGCCTAAAGACTAAAACAATCTGTCTCTGCAAATGGTCCTATTACAAGTTAAAGAGTTATTTTGCTTCTGGCTCAGTAAAAAAATCAAACCAAAACAGCAAAGCAAAGAGCTGACTAATATGACAATCAGATAAATATGAGTATTGTCCAGAGTTACTCTGCTTCTAGAGATGGCTAAGTGTAAATGACACATTACAGAAAATATTTCTTCTTTTGACCTTACATGTCAGGATAGTTATAACACCTGGGAAAAGCTATATTAAATGCAGATAAATAACATTTTTAATTACATTGCTTCTAACAGCTGCACTCATAACCTCAAAAGAAGGTTCCTCAAAAGAAGGTCCTTAGACAGTCCTTATTGACTTAATATAGTAGTATCTGTTGCTTCTTCAGGGAATGATTTTATGGTTTGATGAAGCACTTATTTATCTGTGCTGACACCTCTCAAGAAAAGGAAGGTTTGCAACTAAATGAAGTGTAAAAGATTTTACTAGTTGCAGATAGACATGTATACAAGCACGCATACATTGCAGTAAGCTTTACATTATGCTTATTTCAGAGGCAAAAAAGGATTCAGAGAAATAGCTACCTCCTGGACCTGATAGCAGCATAACACACTCCTAAGGATCCTGAGGGAAATTTTCCCCAGTTTTAGGAGAGTACCTAAAATTTTCCTCTCCAGCACCATCACAGCATTGCTCCATCTCCTACCTTCCTCCTTGCCAGACTGAGGCTTAAGAATACAGGCTTTCAAAATAAGCAAAAATACCTTAAGTATCAGAACAGATTTTTTTTCCCCCTATATTGTAAACAATAGCTAACTGGCTTTATTCAGTGTAAGCAAATAATGTGAATGAAAAGAGCAAATCCTGTGAAGAATAGCCATTTGAATAAAAGATAGGCAGGCACATGGCTCAACACATGCCTTTCCACATGTGGTCAGATGGTTCAGAATTTGATGTGAAAAGAGATAAGCTGTTCATGTCATTCCTTGTTTGATTAACACATCCACTGCTATTTCTGACAACAGAGATTCAAGACCCATCTGCAGTTTTATTCCCTCAATATGCTTGCAACAAATTGTTTTATTTTCATATTACTTTATCATTTTTTAGCAATCTGAGCGTCCACATATTGAGTGACATGAGACAGTATGTTTGGAGAGCAGGTTCACATGAGCAACTAAGTGGGTTTAGCCCAGATAATTCCTTTAAGCCTGAGAAAAAAACTGAATGACAACACTGCAGAGGCATTACTGAAGAGCTGTCATGAACTTTAAATTGGAATAATACAGCTAATTCCAAGGAGATTACCTTTAAGTTCAGGTGACATGAGATTCAGGGGCATATTGTATCTAATGTTTCACAAAGGCACTAGCACAAATTTTCCAGTTTCTTGGAAAAAGGGATACTGTTTTTGACTGGAACAACAGGAATTGGTTTCATCCACAGCTTTCCAGGTATTGCCTCAGAAGACCTTTCTGCCACTAGATTTTTTGGTGTGTTGAAATATTCGTAACACTGAGATATAACTACAATGAGCTGCATGAAATTAATTTCTTTGAAACTGGACTGTGCAAAGACAATAGTAGTTAAAAAAGAGAAGTTTATAATAATAATCAACCCTACATTTTCCTGTCCCTGTGGGACTGACTGCGTCTTGCCTTGGATAACTCTGCACAGGTTGAAATTAGAAGCAGCAAAAAGAAGGGCAACAGAAGGAGACCTCAACATGCTACATCTGCTGGACAAGTTAATTAGAACAAAAAATAAACTGTATGAGACAGTAGAGAGTATGATCCCCAGTAGCAATTCCTGGAATAGCTCTACTATGTCTTACTAATTGCATTCAGTTGAATGTAGCTATAAATTATAGAGAAAAACAAATAATTTTTGCAGATGGAAAGGTTCAATTTAACCTGTTTTGAAGAACGCCCTGGCAGAATTTGTTGCATTGTAATCAAGAAGATGATGACGAAAATGAAAAACCAGAGAAAAGAGAGCCTGAATTTGACCTTCAGAGCCATTTCATCTGGAAAAGAGTTTTCAATCAATGACCAGTTGGTACAGACTGGTAATACCATTTTTTTTAGATATTATCTCACTGGATGTACAGGTGTCTGGATAAAGGAGGTTGGAAAGCTTTATCTACCAAAATTTTTTGATTATTCTTATTTCATTACAACTCAATATTTTCCCCTTTATCTGTCACTTGAAAACCATGTTTTTTTTACTCATTAGTGAGGTTTTGTTAACAAAGACAATGCACCATGAGCTTGCATACAGCACACCCAAAAAATGCACTGGTAATAAAAGTTACTTTCTTCTTCTTGGTATTTCTTTCATTTTCTATTTTACTTCTAGTCATTCCAAAACCTTTTATAATTGAAGAAACAAGGCTTGA